TGACGGTACTACATTAATCCCACCTGTGTGTCTTTATATAAGTACGCATGTGCATGATTTGTGTCCTTCGGTTTTTAATATTGAGCAAATTTGCCGATGACTTTTTATTTGAACGGTGCATCCTTCCTAAAAAAGTCTCGTTTGCTTTCTATCCACAACAAGATGCGAAAATTCTGCTTTTTGATGTGATCCCAGTCTCTTAACATTGAGCTTTGCTTCACATAATAAAAAACCAAAGCAAATTACCAATGAGTACTCTACAAGATACATTGCTGTATTAAAGAGCAAGCATTAGATTCTAATTTAAAACTACTTCAACTTGCAGATACAGTATTATAACAGAGTTTGCTTCATTGTTTATTTGACTTTCACACACAGAACACAAGTAAACACAGTATGCACGCAAGAGATCACTAACAGTTAATACGCTCAAAAGTTCATTCAAATGTGCACACACAATCTTAGCCCATTGACGCCAACAGAGTACGGCTAAACACCCCCCCCCCAAAAAAAAAAGAAAAAAGAAAAAAAGAAACAAAAGAAAAGGAAAAAAAAGCGGAGATGAAAGAAAGGAGGGCTGGGGGGCGTGCTCAGTCTACACTTTGGCTTGGAGCCGCGAGGGTGTGCAAAGTTGGTGTCAATAGTCATGCGCACGATGCCTAATCACATGACACAGTGCGGCTTAAGCCCCCGAGCCTAATGGCATCATCAGTTGTCTCGGCTTTGAGCCATTCAACGTCAAAACCCTAGTGATATTCAGTCAGGGGGAATTTAAGGGCCTGATCGTAAGGGATAAACCAACGAAATTTCATTCTCCCCATCGGAAGGGGGGCCTGACTGAACAGGGCTTTAGACATAGAAAATAGTGGTAAAGTTTTGACAGTTCAAACATTTTTGTAAATTTTAAAACCTTTTTTCAACAGAAAAGTACTTTTTTGGTGAAGAAAACCACGTGGGGCTGAAGCTGCGAGCCCCACACCACAAGACGCCCCTGTTTTAACTTTGACTCTACATGACAAGGCTCAGACTTGTGTCCAAAAAACTCACAAAGCTAGAAGCAGTGACAATTAATTCTTTATGTTATGGCTAGACAACTGTGTTAGTTGTGAAAAAGAATCCCAGTTGTGGAACAGTGTCTGTGTTGTAAGTAAGTGTACCATATGAGCTGATGTTGATTTTACTTTGTTTTATGAAAGATGTGAAGTGTTTCTGTCAGTGACTATTGCTTCTTTTTTAAACTTATTCGCTGTTTCGTTTTTTCACTGTTAGAATATAAGCACTTTACGTTTCGGCCCGAACGACCATTAGTCTCTTTAACATAATAATGCCCTCGCACACTGTTAATAACAAATTCTCTCACCTGTCTTTAACCTGAAGTAAATCGAATGGCTATGTACCGTCCTAGCAGTCTTCCTGTGCAAAACAGACACAAAAGGAACAAAATATGACACTAATCTGCCCCCGCCCCCCTCTATTCTACCCTACGCTCATTAACACAAATTATGTATCCGTAAAGAAACCGAATTTGCTTATGCACGCACGCACGCAGACAATAACATACATTTTTGGTAGATCTAGATCTAGTAAAAAAAAACTTGATTCTTTTATGTACAGGAGGACTGTAGGCTAGGAAGTTAAAGAGGTAAAATGAGTGCATTGTATTGTCATTCTTATTCTCGCTTGGGGTCTGTAAATCTTTGAAATGTTCAGCCCATCAGTCATAAAAATTTTTAAAAAAAAGATATGAAAGGAAGACTAGAATATAGATCTAGTTCTAGACTAGATTAAAATCCATTTGTGGGGAAGTAAAACATACTAAAATAATCCAATAACCCATGAAGCCCAGTTACAGCCCAAACCATTCATCTGTGATTAAACGCTTAAAGAATGCAAGACGCTTACGAAAGCAAAATATAATACTGGAAACGCTAAAATGCCATGGACTGTCAAATCGTCCCTTTGTGAAAGTTCTGTCATTGGTATTGCTTTCACCAATCTCTTCTCAGCTCTGGTGTGGTTTGCTCCTTCTTTCCTATCAAACGTCTATCGCCCTGATCTCTCCTCCTTCTGTTGTATGTTTGTTACTCTCTTGTTAGTGCGCTCGTCTCCGAAGCAGAAAGTCGGGGTTCGAGCCTCGGTTCGGACACGGGTTTATTTCGCCCCCTCCTGCCCATCCAGCAGTAATGGGTACCTGACTTCGAGTTGGGGAAGTAAAGGCGGTGTGGAAAGGAACTGGCCACCCTACCATAATATTACGTCGAAGGCCCAGGAAATTGTCTCACAAACAAGGCAATCCCCAACGTCCAAATCGGAAGCAGGAACAACATTTACTCTCTTGTAACACTTCTAATCTTCGGCACTTATCTGACCTTATTGTGTTGCATGTGCCGTAAAACTCTCACTAAAACTAAAACTATATGACAGAGTAAAGACTAACACAAACAATGTTATCGCCGCAGTAGGAGACTTCGTACAAACATTTTGGATCTTGGTGACAAAATAACTGCTGGCCCCTCAAGGGAGCAGGAGAGAGGGTTTCTCGTCTCTGGATTCTAGCGAGCACAGGAGTGTAGGACTGATGACTGAACAACTCAGAGATGTAAACTTACTGTGGGTCAGCCAACATTTCTCTCACACAACGGCAAAAGCAAAGGCGTCAACAACACTTGCAAAAACATGGTTAATGACGGGGACGCTGCAGACAGCCTCAGCAGCAGCAACAACAACAAGAACATAAAAGCACTAAGAGACTCATTGTTTCCTTTTCTTTTTGCTAATTTTGTTAATCCACGCTTTCCGCTACACAATCCGAATACTCTTTGCACCTTCTGTTTTGTCTACAAAACACAAAAGTCACTTGATAGGAACGGGCAGGACACCCCTCCCCTACCAACCAACGAACCAACCAACCAACCAACCAACCCCCCCCCCCATATTTTCAAAGCCTTAAATCTCAGGAACGGGCCCTGCAGTGTGAGAATGAATGCATCGCGAAAACGGTTTCTTCTTAGTATACGTTATTATAGAAAAAGTTATTGACCAGTAACTGAAAGGAAAACTTAAAAGTAAGAAAAGATAAGTTGACTGTGTCCACGGGATGCTTCGAGGCATCTCTTAGGACAGAGCCTTACACTTTATTTTAGAAAAAAAATAAAAAAAATAATAAAACGAAAAAAGGACAACGAATGAAATTTCAAAAATACCACTGTATTTTTAATTGCTATTTAAAGACTTCTCTATTGACTTTAAAAAAATATTCAGTCATCAAGATTGATTTACAGTAAAAGGAAAAGAATTATACGCCACACGTCTTAATTCTACTATTACCGGTTTGTTAAACCAGGAAGCACATTAATTAAAGCAGCTGAATGAAACACCTAAAACACCGACAAGTTTGTGAAAACATCACTTTGCCTCCATTAGCGTTAACATACTTCTGCTTAACTCTTTATTAATCTTTAATTTCTTCTTCGGACGTGAGTATCATTGGTTGCTTGATCATTTCATTCTTATTTTCTTTTTTTTTCACAGACGTCTTCGAACCAAGCTGTTTTTATAATATAACAAGGGAAAATATGTGACTATCTTTGAAATGGTAGATAAAGGAGGACAATGCACAGAAATCTCAAGAGAATATCAAAGTATGTTATTGCAGTTACTAAATGTTCATGCAAGAAAATGGATATAGTAAACTGAAATTTGTTTAGATAGATAGAGACCGAGGTAGGGATAGAGAGATAAATAGATAGATGGATAGATTATAGAGGGTGAGAGAGAGAGAAAAGGGAGTGTGTGTGTGTGTGTGTGTGTGTGTGTGTGTGTGTGTGTGTGTGTGTGTGTGTGTGTGTGTGTGTGTGTGTGTGTGTGTGTGTGTGTATGTGAGAGAGAGAGAAAGAGAGAGAGAGAAAGAGAGAGAGAGAGAGAGAGAGAGAGAGAGAGAGAGAGAGAGAGAGAGAGAGAGAGAGAGAGAGAGAGAGAGAGAGAGAGAGATTGCCTATGTTGTATTTTTGATTTTGATGTATCCGTGCATCAGTTCCTACAAGTTTTGCTGTAAAGTGCATTTTTTGTTCATAGAGTGGAATGCGCAATATATGTGCCATTGGTTATTATCAATATCATTATCACATATTAGTGTCTTATTGGTACTGCAAAGGTGTGTTATGGGGGTTCTCGTGGCCTAGAGGTTAAGGTGATCGCCTCTTATCCAATAGGTCCCGGTTTCGAATTCGGATAGCAACGGAAAATGTTATACTTTCACATTCTTTCCTGCTCTCTAACAATGTTCTATAGTCTGCTTTCGTCTCTGCTTTCTGCCCCATCCCCTCACCTCCTTTGCAACCTCCTCTGGGCTCTTGACTCTTTCTGCAGCCTTTTCACTACTTCTCCATGGCTCCTTCTTACGACTGTCTTTCATTCACACCCCTGATCTTCTGGTAGGAAAGATCTACACCTAGCCTTCTTGGACAAGGGCGAAACATCTCTGAGGTCCCAAGTGCAAGTTGCACTCGTTAAAGATCCCTTGGTCGTCCAAAATCGATTAGGGTAGGCTTCGGCCGCCACCCGGGCAAAATTTAAAATTTCCTATCTACTGAAAATGTTTTGTGTGTCCCGCGCGCTTATATGACCAATGCAGTTTTGATCGCCGAAAAACGCATACACAAAAAAAATGTGTTACTATCGGTTCAAGAAAGAAGCATTTAATTCCAGAGTATCTCTACCTTGTTCAAATATTGTATCTTGATGCGTACTGCTTAAGTGTTCGCGATAGCTTCTCTAATCTCTATATAGGCCTTTTTTTCAAATTTAAATACAGTGAAATTTATATCCTGTTTTTTTTTTGTTTATGTAATTTGATCAATATAATTGCTATAATTAGTGTTGCTATGATTGCTATTTGTTATCAAGATCCGCTGTACTTTTTCTTTTTACAGAAAAGACGATGACGGCATTGGTTAACTGTGTTCAAGGTGATGATGGTGAGTGTAGTGTAACAGGTTTATAGGGTTTTTTTTAAATTGCAGAGAAGTCCCAAGTTTGTTCAATCAAATAAAGAATGAAGCAGCTAGGTGGATTTATTATTTTTTTAAAGAGAAAGAGAAGAATTTTGACAAAGTGCAACAAGCTACTTGAATATTGCTTTAAGTATATTGAAAACCACTCAGACGAGAATTTGTCGCTTTAAAACCGTGCTACAAAGACACCATGAAGGCCTCTTTGAAGGACTATAACATAAATCCCTCATCATGGGAGATTTTAGCTCCTGGCAGACCCAGTTGAATTACAGAAGTCACAGAGGGCAGCCAGTCATACGAGATTTCATTAACTTAAAATGCTGATTCCAAGATAGAAGAAGTCATAGTAGGAGAAACAAGTCATTGTTAATCTTTGTTAACCTTTGTTAACCTTTGTTAACCTTTATATCTTCTGTTTTACTTTAAGAACATTCTCTGCAGAAGCATTTGTCATCGCCATACACTGACGGAGGAGTCATTATTATAACAACTATTTTTGTCTACAGCGCCACCACCACCATCACCTATTTTGTGTTCCTATCGATTGGTGATGTCCATAATGTGTTCCCTGGGGCTTTTCACATGTGTAGCTCAGCGTCTGTCTCTAAGTGTTGCCATCGTGGCGATGGTCAACCAAACTGCTCTGAGGCAACTTCGTGAAGAGAAATGGAATGACACACATCAAGTGTCGGGCGGATGCAAAAATTGCAAAAAAGTGCACTTTGAGGATAACGTACAATATACGGTAAGTTTTAGCTCTTTTAGAACAGGCATCTATTTCATCCACGCCGCTCTGCCCCCCTCTCTCCTTACTCGACGTCTTTCCATGACAAAGTTTCACTTTTGAGACTTGACGTAAAGTGTCTACTATATTTCATCCACCATTCCTTCCTCTTTGTCAATTATAATCCCAAGATAGCAGAAGGATTTGACGTTTTCTAGTGCGTTTCCTTCTATTGTGATCTGCTCCTTTCGTTGTAGCCCTCGGACTTTTGACTTTCCCGGGTGGATCCTCAATCCAACAGACTCTGATAGGCTGTTTAAAACTGAGGACATTGCTTACTTCTGTTCCTGGGTTTGCGACAGAAGAGTCAAATCGTCTGCAAAGTCAAGATCGTTCAGCTGTGTCTATGGGGTCCAATGTATGCCATTTCTGTGTCCTTTGGTGGTTTCTTTCAGCAGCCAATTGATCGCCTAGATGAAGAGGAAAGGTGACAGTAAACATCCCAGTCTCAAACAGGCCTTGATGTCAAAGTTGTCGATTACAAAGATTCCCTTTCGAGACTTGACGTTAGGATTCTATGATTCGCGTAAATTGTTTGTGTTCTTTCGTGAAATATACAAATTGTCGATAGCCTGTGAATTCCACACAAAGCATATTTTACAGGAGAGGCAAAAATTTAATCTTTCCGTCGTTTGGAGTGCAAGCCATAGACTGAATGAATAAATCTAGACCAATACCTTATGAGAATAATATCAAAGTACATTTTTAACTGTTGATGGTCTTTCTTTTTTAAAAAGTGTGGGATTCGCGATCTACGTTTTCAAATCTCGCCTCATACGGTCATGAATTCGACAGTTAGATCTAGTGGAATTCACAATTTCATCAGTGGACTTTATGAATTGTCGTGATATATTGACCTCATGTACACATTCATACCTGCACACACACACACACATACACACACACACACACACACACACACACACACACACACACACACACACACACATAAGTGCAAACATGCAAACAGTTACCAATACCAGCATGCATTGCCAAGTTTACAATACACAGGCACATTGTTTTTTTTTTTTGTGGTAAATGTTTTACCTCACAATGCGGATAGAAGCATAGGGGAATATTGAAACAATAAATAGGCACGTTAGATGTGAAGAGAGGCAGAGGCAGACAGAGGGACAAGATACTGGACAAGTTAACAACATGGCTGGGAGCAGCAAGAACACAGACACCATCGATGTAACGCAAGACAGAGTGAAGTGGAAGTCCATGATCGCCCACCCCAGTCGGCAAGGCACCGGATAATGATGATGTGTTTTACAGCGCTTGCAACTGCATAGCACATTAGTTTGATGAAACTTTGATAAACATTAAAGATTAACAGCATCGTAATACATGTAAGTGGTGTGATCCAGTATGGGATATTGTCATAGAAACTGATGCTCGGACGGTATTGCTGTTTTAAGGCCGTCCAATCCTGAAATTTACTCTTTGTGATTTTTTAATGGAGAATGATATCGTGGTGGGGAACTCTTTATCAATTTTTCCTTGTACTTGGACTTTGGAAAACCCTTCCTCTCATCGATTAAGTTTATTTTGTAAAATGAGGAAAAAATCCCTATCTTATGTAAATCAGACACTCCATATGACATTGGATCTTCTGTTTGTCTATCCGACCAGACTATTTTGTGGACTGCATATTTAGCAAAATCATGGATGAAAATGTGATCTACAATTAATTCTTTTTATTGTAGGGTCTTGCGTTGGTATATTAATGTGGTTCTGAAAACAGCAAGACAATCTAATAGGCTGTATATGTATGTGAGTGTATTTGAGGCGACGCTCAGTGAAACGGTGCATACTATCCACATCCATTGAGTGCCTCTTTCAAGATCAGTTTGCTCCTACAGCATTATATTATTAGACAGAACTGCATTTTTGTACCCTCACTCACACAAGTCACTATATAATCTAATAACCTTTTCTATTTATGTGTGGACGTTGAAAGAAAGTCTACCAAACTAGTTTTGAATTCATTCGCAGTCGACAAACCACCCTGAGCTTTGTGCCATACATAATAAAGGCATCTTGCGAGGTCACAGAGAATATTATGTGCATGCCTTTGAAATAAGAGCAGGAGGAATGGATAGAGAGGGTCAAAAGTTCACACCGAAGATTTGTGTAGATTATCACAAGGTAATCTTGCTCTCGAGCAAAGTTTTATCCATGACATTTTCTCTCTTTCGCAGTTTCTTTTCTGGAAATTGAGATTCCCACTCTGATTGGCTGAAATGTTGCCAGACTTAAAATCACGTAAAATCAAAATGATCTTGTTTGGCCTATATATCGACACGTATTTTTAATCAAGCACTCATCTGAGTAGTTTGACACATAAGGCAGATTGTCCTTGACCAGTGCACGCTGTTTCGTAAAACCGATGCAGGTCAGACAGATTATAAAACAGGGTTCAAGATACAGTAATCTAGATTTTTTTCCGACAATAGTGAATGGGGACCCTCAGAAGCATGTACACAGATGTGGACAGAAATACCCTGGTCTGCTCGCTCCTTGTAGATTGTTTCGAGGTGCAGCTGGCTGAGGCTCTTCTAAAGCACTTTCTAGCTGGAGTATCGTGGTTGTCACCAAGAAATGCCCGAGAAAGATGCTCAGGATCTGATAGACAGATAGAGTTACCAGCGAGAAGTTTGCAGGAGAAAAAGACAGAAAAGGGCAGTGGAGATGGACTGTTGGAAAGACATTTGGATAATGTAAAGAATATAGCCCAGAATACGGAAAATGGAAAGTGTTTGTCGGTCCACGGTGAGTCTTTTGATGATGCAGCGTGCATGGGCTCTTCTAGAGCACTTTACAATAGATGCAAGAGCCCAGTTATTTGGATACCAACATTTTCCTGCACAATTTGATCTTCTGATCTTCCTGTTTCAGATACTAAACCACGTTTTTTAAAGTTAACTGTTTTTCTGTTTCCACTCATCGAGTACTTTTAATGCTACTTTTTTCCACCGAAAACTGGTTCTTATACTATTTCCGCGCTGGTACAAGGCGGTTGTTCTGCAACTTTCTTTGATATCTAAAGTGGTTTAAGTTGTTCTACTTCGCAATATCACTTAGTTTGTTAGGGGACTCTTATAAATAAATGCTCTTTTAAAGTCAAACTAGTTGGGATTGTGATACAATACAACAATACAACAGAACACTTTTAATGTATTTTACTACATTGCTACTTTTTTTGCATTCGAGCAAGAACGAAATTGTAGAACTACTACTAGAAGGGCAAAAGCATTATACATTCGAATTTGACTGTCATTTCGAAACAATTCTGGTACAGCATCTATGAAACAAGAATCATAATCACGCGACGGAAAGCTTTTCTCTCTGTCAACACCATAAATTAAAAAATATAGGCTGGAAACGATGAATTCTGACCGACAATTATTGTGTTTGCTCAACGCAGTCGTCAATATTTCTATGTTTACAGGAGCATGTATCGTCGGTCTCCTGATAACATTGTGAATTCCACAAATGTTTGAACATTTTTTGTACACATTTTGATAGTGCTCGGTGAGATATTAATACAATTATCTCAACTCAATCGTGTAATCTGACGTGATATAAAAATACATGAATGTCCACACCTGTGTGGAATTCACGATCTTATCAGTCGGTTCATGACTCGCATGAGCGACTCTAAAGCACTATCAAAATAGGCAACAAAAAAACCCAACAGATTTTCGAACATTTGTGGAATTCACGATTTTATCAGGCGACGGACGAAATACCACAATCCTAGATTTTCTTGATAAAATATATGCTTTCGTGGGCGCGTCCACACTATCCCTGTCTTCTTCTCTCTCTGCATGTCTGTTTGCCTCTTTGTTTGTTTGTTTGTCTGTCTATCTGTCTCTATTCCGTCTTGCCACTCATCGTTTCTGTCTGTCTGTCTGTCTGTCTGTCTGTCTGTCTGTCTGTCTGTCTGTCTGTCTCTCTCTCTCTCTCTCTCTCTCTCTCTGTGTCTCTCTCTCTTTCTCTCTCTTATATGCCAGCGCAGGCACACTCACAATCTATATCTGACCATATGAACTATAGAAGTACGTGTCTAACAAGTAGTAACGCTGTATGTCCACCCGTGGGCCCGAAATAGAGCATTACGGGTTTGGACAGTGAATTATTGTGAAGTTTGTGTGAACCTTCATGGTGATACAGAGCTATAAATAAAGCTACAATAAGACTTTTTGCACACATACACAAAGCACATTTTCTCACACTCACAGTTGCGTATGCTGTCACAAGAGAAACAAGCTGGCTTTTGTTAATTATAATAAAGTATGTATTGCAGACACAATATTTACATACTAAGTAGCTCTGAAAGCTCCACGTTCATAAGGTCTCCAGCGGCTGTTAAAAATTGTTGATTTGATTTGTATCTAAGGTAGAAAAGGTCGATCACATCCAAGTATTGATAGAATTACAGTAGTGGTCCCGAGCCTATTTTCCACTTTCTCTCTCTCCATCCTTATCTCTTCCCCTTTTTCTCTTTCTCGCCCCCTACCTTCTCTAGTATCCCCCTCTCTCTCATCATTCCTCTTTCTCTTTTGCTTTTTCTCCCGCCTCCTCTTTCTCTTGATTTTCCTATATACCCCTACCCCTCGATTTTTCTATTCCTTAAAATTCGATATTTCCTCAGTCTCAAAAGCAATAATGGGCTCATAAAAATGTTTTGGTCTTTAACTCTCTTCCCAGGAAGGAGAAGGAGAATTTATATGGTCAAAGGAGACACAAGGCATCATTCTCAGTTCTTTCTACTGGGGATTCGCGGTAGCTCAGCTACTTGGGGCCTGGTTCAGTCAGAGGTCAGGTACTCTTCCCCGTTTCCTTTAATATTGTTTTGAAATTCTTCCCATAACTTTTTCAATTACATTTAATAAATATTTTTGCTGTAATGCTTTTGCCTTTTAAAAATCTACTTTCTAAATTGTTACTGAAACCGTTGGACCTGCTATGTACCTTTTAAATTATTTGTTTATAATTTGCAGTTCCGTAAACAAATACTATGCGAATTCTTATTTCAGATACGGTGGAAGGAGAGTTTGGGCCTGTTCCATGCTCGTGTGCTCACTTTTAACTCTCCTCACACCAATAGCTGCTCGGATAGATTCTTATGCAGTCGTTGCAGTGAGAGTTGTATTAGGTCTTTTTCAGGTAAAATAGTAATTTTTGTTGCATAATATATATATATATATATATATATATATATATATATATATATCATTGAAGTGAAAAAAAGGTGGGAATGATTAGCAAACATTACTATTTTTTTGGTCCAACATTTAAATCCAGCTTTCTTAGTAGACTTATTGATTTTCTAAGGTTTTTTTGTCAAACTGATCATTTTACTTTGTTGATCTGAAGACAAACGGGGAATTTCGTAGAAACTATTATACCCCCACCCCCCTAAACCTGTAAGCAATGCTAATGACGCATTCTTGTCAAGTGATGTAGACCATGTTAATAGAAGAATACTTTTTCACACTTCCCCTCTTAAAGTCCGTTGGGTAGCTGAGGTTATAAATGTAAAGAATAACAATAATAGAACCATTGTTTCCATTCATTTATCACATAATAAACTTTAAGGCTCACTCTAATTCCAGATAACAAAAGGTTTGGATATAGCTTTGGCTTTACTAATTTCCGGCAAAACAGAAAATCCGTCTTGTTGTCTTTCACTTCCTGTTGCTTTAAATATTGCGTCTTCCCCACTAGCCTTCTCTACCAATTTTTATTTGTGGAAACTTGTTCATTTGGGCTTTTGTTTAGTAATTTTCATTTACCCTCACTTTGTTTTGATAATAGTTTATTTTCTTATGATCTTAAAGCTAAAACCTAGCTAGAACAATAGCTTAAGATGGCAAGTATACATGTATTTTTTCGCGTGGTATACTGTACACATAACAATGGTGTGTTTTCTCCAAAGAGCGTGATGTGGCCCTCCGTGTGTGTTCTTTTCGCCCGTTGGGTACCTCCCCTGGAGAATGGGAGACTTACCAGTTTTGCAACAACAGGTAACTTCTTCGTAGAACTCGTGAGGGAGTTAGTACAAAGTGCCAAGTTTGTGCTCGGCACACTTTGGGCGTTCAGTAGACAGTACAATGTGGGCCATGCCGTAAAGAACGGCAAAGGAACAAGGGAGGAAAAAAAGGAAACTTTGACCTCGACAGAGAAAACAATGTTAACTTTTTGACTGAAAAAAAACAACAACCTTGCCTGTCGGTATTTGTTTAGGTATGAAAACGAGGAAGAGGAGGGGTTGTTAACCAATCAAAATAAAGCCCTGAACCATCCGTGATTTGCTCAGACAAGTGAGGTTCAAGTATAAGTATCTTTCAAATACATGTAATATCCTTCTAACAATGGGAATTAATATCTACTTAACACTTTCTGATCTGTCAAATAGGTTCTTTGCTGGGCGCTATCATCACTTTACCAGTGGTGGCTCAACTATGTGAACTACCGACAGGATGGTCTCTAGCCTTTTACATTACAGGTAAGGCAATTGCTCCTCTAGTGTATGGCAATAGTTCCCCACGAGTTTCCAGCTACTGAATCGACCCTTTTCCTAAGGGTTTAGATTATTACTATTAAACCTAATAGCCTGCTCTCAATCAAATCTTGTGGCTGATGTGCATAGCCTTCAGATAAGAAAGTAAACAGATATGTATGACCTCTGAACTGGTTTATCTTCAAAAGCGTGAAAAGAAAAAGCTCAAACTTATCCGGCAATATACATTCATACATGTATATTATACTCTCTCTCTCTCTCTCTCTCTCTCTCTCTCTCTCTCTCTCTCTCTCTCTCTCTCTCTCTGTCTCTGTCTCTCTCTCTCTCTCT